TCTCTGATCTACTCGATCCACTGTGCGACGATGTGGATTCTCAGCGGCGTGGCGTGCTTTGCGATATATCGATGGATCTGTCATTTAAACCTATTGAAAAGGATCGATAAACAAGGTACACCGTAATAATCGATTCTCCACCATAGCCTCAAATGGGGAAATATTGATAGTCGATCATCTATGCTTCGCCACCGAAGCAGCTGTTTTAAAAGATTGCATCCGGGAGTTTATGCACTTTTTGTCCATTGAAGCGTGAAATCAAGTTTTACTTTCACCATGTATTTGATACTCGGACGGGAAAAAAGGTTCTGTTTATATTGATTACCTATGTTTATCCGTTCAAGTTACGAAGTCCTCGATCACTGAAAACGAACTCAGGTTCAGCCAACCAAAATGCAGTTGCTTCGACTGAAAATATAAACAATTGAATTATAAACTTGTCCCAAAACCAGGACGAACATGCGACTGGTATGTAGAACGCCATGTGACTTAGCATTCGTTTTTGTTGATTTTCTTTGAAAGCATTTTCTTCACAAGCACTGTGTCTTTCCTTAGAAGGACAGACTAGAGACAGTGGCAATTTTGCAAGTTGGCAACACTGTTTATATACCGTTTAGATCCATGAAAAATATCTACATAATATGAGGCAAGCTGCCATACCAAGAATCGATTGTTTTGCATACATTTAAATGGAGGAAAAGCAGTGTTGCCAACTTTCAAGAATCGTCTCTCATTTCATGCCAAAGAAGAATAATGCTCGGGCACTGAAAAGTTGCGTTGAAATTTTCGCAGATTAAGTGCGTGTTGTGAGTAAAATTCTCTGCAAATCTGTAAGAAAAAGTCCAGAAAATGTATATTTCATCGGGAGAAATTCGGTATCGTCTGAATATTCTAATTGCAATTTTCTTTAGCATTGTGAATTGTGCAGCATGGACACCTTGTTCAACTCTCGCTTTTCGATCCGGATTCGCGAATTCGAGTCCAGAGCTTGACTGGCAAAACCACTTAACTTCCAACGTTAAACCCTTGTCCTTACTCGATTTTTATTTGCGATACAGTTAGAACATCCCGTCTTCAGGCTCTGTTGGAGTTGGCGTCCGGCGGTACAGGATGAACTATCGGCCAATCACCTTTGACCTCATCCAAAGGCCTCGGGCCGGCTTTTCACCACCTGACCTTCCTCAGCGGATTTTTCTCTCGAAATCTTCCGAGAAAATCCTTCTAGAAAGGTCTCTAGAAACTCCTTCGCCAAAAAGGTCCTTTTTTTCGCATACCGGAGTTGAAATATGGTCGGAAAGAAAGTTCATCGACGGTAAGTGGCGATTTAAAAGTTGGCAAACAGTCTTCTGTGTTCCCCCTAAAATTTTAGGAGCCACCTTGGTGAACGGTAGGCCAGAAGGAAGGGTGACGATTTATCATTCGGTTCTGTCTCGACAGCCTTTCTCCAAATTTGCCGGGGAAACCTTTGGAATCCAAGTTCCAATTCTACTGAGGTAAACACCCTAGACGACTCTATCGTCTTTGAAAGACTTTTACGGTTAGGTATGGGAGGCGTCGAAGTGTGAATTTGGTCGAAGAGAGACTAACCCTATTGCTCGTTCGCAACGTCGTCGGACGGAAAGAAATTTATAGTTGCCGTGAATTTTGCCTTTCCCTAAGCAGGGCCTTGGGAAACTCATCGAGAAGATGGAATCATGGCAATCTCATTAGCGATCAGTGCGACCGAGTGCCGCGCCTGGCTGGTCACGACCACGTTATGCGTTAATCGCTAAGGGAGCGCTTTGTTGCGCAGGCCACGCGTAAAGCTGTCAAATGCCAGGGCTCGTAGCCACCCGAAAAATCCGGATCAAACAGAAAAATTTATTCGAGGGGTTGGGGACAGAAAACACATGGAATTTGAAAAACTTCTTTTGCAGGACTCGTGATTCCTTTAATTGGGAATAAATACTTATATGGACCAGCGAGCTGATTATTGAAATTGATAGACAAAATTATAGACAAAAAAATATAACAGGGAATTTACACTTCGAACAACACATAGGGTGGGTAAGGAACGATGCTCGATTGAGGAGCCCGCCGAAACCGTTGTAGTGCACGTTTTGATTCGTGTAGAGTATTGTTTTTCTTGTGGACGGGGAATTCAAATTTCTCGAAACCATTGAAAAAACAAAAATTTTAGTATCTCACCAGAAACTTAATTTCAGTGTAAGTGAAATTCTGGTCAAGACATATGTGTCAGAATGCTTAAATTCGTATTTGTTTAATGTCCTGTCGTTGGTCTCGAGCAAGTCGGGGTCATCGAACCAAGCTTCACTCAAAAGCAGTGGCGTGGCTTTGCGATGTATCGATTGATTTGCCTTTTGAACCTATGGAAAAGGATCGATGAACAGGGTGTTCGCAACGAACACCTTTATAATCGATTTCTTACCATAGCTTCAAATGGGGAAATATCGATAATCGCTCATTCACACCTCGCCGCTGCTTAAATGAGTCGAATAATATGGAAACATGGATTACTGCCGTTTAGATTCGACAATTGCAGACCTACTTTAAGTAAAAAAAAATTGAGAAAAGTGATATTTTCTGAGTTTACTCGACAAAAATTACAAAAAATGACGTCGAAAAATGTTTTATGGAACACCCTGTATTACGCTCCTCTCTCCCCTCTCGTAGTGGTTTTTGCCCTGTATTACTCTCCGTGTAAAGCTGTACAACGATAACGGAGACACCCAAAGGATCCTCAAGAGTTATGGCCGAGCAAGTGCCCAAGAAAGCCGGCGTCTTTTTTTCTATCCATGCGTTTAAGTCACCGGTGGCGAAGCGTGATTGATCGAGTAGTGAGTTGTTTCCTTTTGAAGCCATGACAAAGAATCGATTGTTGAGATGTTCGTTGCAAACACCCTGTTTATCGACCTTTTTCTGTTGCTTTTAAAGGCAGATCAACCGATCTGTCGCCAAGCACGCTACGCCACTGCAAGGCACCAGTTAGTGATGATTTCTGCTGAGAGTGAGAAGATCTCCCGTGTCGGCAAACAAAAATGTTGCTCCTGCAAGGTGCATTTTGTAGGGCGCTTTTTGCATGTTTTTTTTGCGTTTTCGAAATAAATTGTCACGGCTTTGTCGTCTCTTTAAGCGTCCTCAGCGATCAAAATAATTTTCTGTGTGTTTATACTCTGCTGTTTCTAGTTATGTACATATATATCGCACGAAATAAAACACAAGAAAATGGGAAACCCTGGGTTTCCCATTACCTTGTGTTTTGCTTCGTTAAATTACCAGGGATATTTTTGTGTATCTTAGTTATGTTTATTCGTGCAATGTTGACGCATCGAAAGGCTAGACTGGCTACCTTATCTTCCATTTTGATTATTTAAGTCGAAAAATATGTATTTTTGATCAAGATATTGCAAGCATCCAATGATATTTTACTTTTCTATGAGAAAATCAACTGTATCCAGGTTTTTTTCACTTTTCCTGCCTAAGGGCAAGTAATTGTAAAATTTGACACCGTGACTGAAAAAAACATTTACATCGTGTACCCATATCTTTGGTTGAACGTAATTTTATTTTATTTTATTTTTGAGTTCGTAGATTCGGTCTTTTTTTATGGCCCTTTCTGAAGTGACCCCTAAGATATTTAATTACCTTGATAAGAAAATGCATCCACCTACATCCAAGAAACTCGACAACAGAGCTGTGCGCACAGCAGCGCCAGATCGGCGTAAGTGGGCGGGGGTGGAACTCCGAGCAGGTCCGGGCCCGGGCCCATGACAAGCGACCATTCAGTGCTTCCTGCCATTATCTCTCTTGGTCAAGGCCAGTTGCACACTGGGACACTTAACGCGTTCCGTAGTCGCGCCGCCCGCCGCGCTGCCGCTGATTTTGTTCCAGAATCGGGATAATCGCCATAGAGAACATCTATCACCAGGGGTGCAGAAAGCTCTTAGCCTTCCCCAACTTATAGTTTGCCTCCCCCAAAGCTGTTTTGTTCGCTATATAAAACAACGCGCTGAACAGCCTCCTTCCTCGAAAGTAGCGCACTTAAAAGACTTCCAGCATACAAAACAGCGCGCTTAAAAGTTTCCTTGCCCTAAAGCAACGCGTCTAAAAGTTTCCTTCCCTTAAAGCAGCGCGCTTAAAAATATATTTGCCCATAAGCAGGGCGCTGGAAAGACTTCCAGCAAATGTAACAACTTGCTCGGTAGTTTTCTTCCCCATAAGCAGCACGCTTTAAAGGCATCTAGCACAATGAAAATGCGCGAAAATGGGGGAGGGGGAGTCTTCCCCAATTTTTACAAATTTTTACAGCTTTCCCCAAGGAAAGATAGGTATGAGGGTTCTCTTTTGAAATTCTAAAATTTCGCCAGTTCCCACTGCCCCCGCCCGGCGCCCAGGGAGGAGGGGGCGACCTCGCCCTCCTCCGAAGAGATTTCCATTTTAACTTCAATAAGTTTGGTCCATGGGCTCAAAGAATTCCCGATCCATTTGAAAGATTCTGCACTCCTGCCCATAACATCAAAATCTCTTTTAGAAATATTGAGCTTTTCGCCTCAATATGTATACTACGGCATCATAGACATAATTAAGAAAACCATATGAAAGTGCGCCATTTTTCCAAAGATGCTCTAGTCTTTGTAGATTGCCACGGCGGTCCGCCTATAGCGCACCGTCCTATTCATCACTCCAGATGCCAATAGTATCATGTCCGTAGCATGGCTTTTTTTACAGAATTATTTCAACTCTTGTGGACTTATTTTTGTCTACCTTATGAATTGAAGGCGTATCAATCCCTCGCTGCAGACTGTAGATGCCAGTAGTTAAGTCCGGCTTATAGTTTATTTGATGTTACTATTGCAACTCCTGTGAACCCGTTTTGCCTATCTCATGAATTTAAGGCGGATCACAATCATATATCTTGCTCTTTACTGCACTTCTAACACTGTTTGTGCTCTGATTGTTTGAGAGGCCGTTTTAATCTTTGAATTTTGTGTGTGTTTCAGTGAAGTTTACTGTCATGGAACACTTTTGCACACGGTACAGATGGCAGGTCTTTACCATGACTCGAAAACGTTCGTAGATATGAAGATGAAATTCTCTCCCAACGAGACGGTATGTCATGAATGTATATTTTTTTTGTATTGTGTACTCTGTGTTCAATTTTTTAAGGGAATTTTTTTTTATTTTTCTCGTACCTTTTATCTCGCCATTTTGGATTTCTCATCGTATGCAGTTACTTAATTAGGGAAAATCCATAGGGTAATAGCCCCATGAACTATCCTTTCAACGCATATGACTTTTTGTACGGTTATTTTCAAAAAAATTAGATCGTCAGGCCTCAAGATTATAGATTCAAATTTTGAAGCTAATATCTCTCCAAACTACGGCCAAAAAGATGTGATCAATCGATCCATCAAAAAGCACCAAATCGGACGTTACTCGTCGACTCAGTATGTTAGGTAGAATATTATAACGTTATCCCTCTCATACACATTACAAAATGGAGGAACCTATCAAGGAGGAGGTCGAAACGATCGCAAAGACGGTATACTGCGTATACGCGTCAAAAATCAGTATTTACATCTGGAAGTCTGGAGAGGTAAATTATTTTTCCCCAAGATAGTCTCAAAGAAGTGGGAGAAAAATTCGGTTTTTTTACCAAGAAAGGAGCTAAAATCAGGGAACGAGCATGGGGAAGAATGGAGATCTTGCGCATGTGTCAGGAATTTGCGATTTTAGTAAAATTTGTAAAATCTCGCGAGAAACACGATGGTGCCACTGTTTCTCTGAAATCAAACCCAAAGCTGAAAAAAAGCGCTTAAAGGTGAGGCCCGAATGAAGGGGATATCCCACGCTACCTTGAGAATCCACCTCTATATAAAGACAAACTCATTATGCAAAGATAGGGAGCAAATGCATTAACAGGGTTGTCGTGTTTTCAGTTTTGGAGTCCCCAAATAAAGTGGCATATAGAGAGTTTGTCTTGCTATAAAAGTGGACTCTAAGGGTATTGTGGGATATCTCCTCCATTACAGCCTCAACTTTGAGAGCTTTTTTTAAACTTTGGAGTTAAATTCAGAGAAAACCAGTGGCACAACGTATTTCCGGCGAAGTTTTAGATAGGAATCAGTCCTCAAATCGCAAATTCCTGACACATGCAAGAGCTCCATTCTTGACACCATGCATTATAAGCGCGAAGTGCCTCAGGGGCTTTCCCAGGTAAAAATTGGCGATAAGAGCTGCGTTTCAAAATACCATAGGAATTCTTATAGTCGGCTAAAGAAGGCTACAGAAAATCATATAGCTGGCTGTAGAAAGCGGAGAAAATCATACGGCCGGGTTATACGAAGCGATGAAAAATTATGCAGCCGGGCTATAGTTCCTATTGCCGAGCTTTACACTTTATCGCCTGGCTGTTGCTTTTTCGCCATCGATTATAAAACGCTATAAGAAATTGTGTAGAAATTCGTGTGTTTTAGAAAAGTTTGATAAGTTTGATACGGAACCACCTTAATATTTACAAAACACACACTATATTTTCCTTTAATACATATTTTTGTTCATCAATTAAAATGAGAATAATCCATACAGGATGTGCAAAAATTTCAAAATCATGAGTTGAATAACGCTGACTCCGCCAGATTGAATATTAGAACGTAACACAAAGCGGAGCGGCGACGCACTGGCGCCTACAAACCTAACAGAGATACTTCACGCATTGCGCAACGCGTGAAGTATCCCTGTTAGGTTTGTAGGCGTCAATGCGCGTTTCGCGCTGGCTGCCGCGCCGCAGAGTGCCACGGCGCGGCGCTTGAAGCAACTATTTCACACCAGAGGTATCGCACAGCATCATACGAAACTGAAGGCGCTCTAATATATTAGTAATGGCAGGCATCCATCAAAAGTACGGAGCTTTCCTCGCAAAATAAATCAAGATACCACGGCCCAAAAAGAGAGCAGTATTCCAAAAACTCACTGTCCTAGCATCCGTAATTAGTAACGTTTAGCATACACTTTATCGCCTGGCTGTTGCTTAATCGCCATCGGCTATAAAAGGCATAAGAAATTGTGTAGCCAGCTATAGAAGCTATTAGAAATCTTACAGCCGGCTGTAGGTCTGTGGTATTTTGGAACACAGGTTCTACTGCCAATTTTTACCAGGGTCGACTGCGGCGCGGTCAGGGGGTGTAGCCCCATAGTCTGTAGAGTACTCTATGTATGTAGAGTACCTATATAGCGAGAGTATGGACAGATCGCTTCATGGAGGGCTTAGGGCCCAAAAGTGCAGCCACCCTTCCAACCAACTTTTAACGCACAAAATTTCACTGACAGTCTGCAGATTCCAATTCTAACCAAGATGGCTAAGGATGTTCATAAATGAGCGTTCTTCCGCAAAAATGAGTAAATTTATGCAAAAACTAAGTCAAATACGTGCTTAATAAACGATGGTTCGTAACAATGGACCACTAGACAAGGTACGAATTTCAGCATTCTGATACATGATTCGTAACTAAAATTTCACGTAGAATACGACGCGCACAACGAAAATTACCGAATTCAACTCCTTCCAAAGATATTTAACGATTCTTGATACGTGAATTCAAACCACCCGCTCATGAAAACTCAATTCTCTACGTGATTCACATCGCGCGCTGAATGTTATTATGACAGTCTCTGCTGTATAAAAATCTGGCAACCTCAATCTTGACGCTTTGGCTCAGCTATAGCAAATTGCTTACCTATAGTTTGAACAACACATGGTGGAAAATAAACATTGCTCGATTGAGAAGCTTTCTGAAACCGTTGTAGTGAGCGATTTGACTCACGTAGAGCTTTGAGTTTCTTGAGAGCGGGCAGTTCAAATTCCTCGTAACCAATGTGAAATAAAAACGATAATATCTTCGTTAGGAGTTAGTTTCAGTAATTTTCGTTGCGCGAATCGTGTTTTACGTGAAATTCTGGTTAAGAAACATGTATCAGATTGCTTAAATTCGTACCTTGTCTAGTGGTCCATTGTATTAATAAATCGCTCTGGATAATTGAAATTCATAGGTTGGCTGCATTTCTGGGCCCTAACTTTATTCGCGGAGGCATCGGTGAAGGCCTGATGGATTTTCGGAGTTTCACATCTGTCTATACTCTCGCTATACAGGCACTCTAACTCTATGCCTCTGTTGGATTTCGGTTGGGTTTTCATGAGGATCCTTGGGGGTGTTTGTGTGCAGGTGGGGATGTTCGCGGAGCTGATGAAGCGAACGGAGAGCCGGCCGTCGCGGCTGCAGCTGGAGCTGTTCGTGAACGAGACGTTCGAGCCGCCGGGGAGCGAGTTCGAGGCGTGGGACCCGTCCGACTGGGTCCAGACGCCGGGCTTCCTCGGGCGCGTCAAAGACAAGGAGCTGAGCGAGTGGGCCGCCCAACTCAACGACCTCTGGAAGTTCCTCGGCCGGAAGATGCGCGACGACATCAAGCACCACCCCGATCTCTACTCCATCATCTATGTCCCCAACCCCGTCATCGTCCCCGGAGGACGATTCAGGGAGTTCTACTATTGGGACTCCTATTGGATTATCAGGTAAGCTTTCCTAGAGTCCGTCAGCGGCCCGATTATCGAAACTATGTCAGCCCGACACGACAAGACAAAGCCCTATCTCAACCATGCACTGTATCGCAATTAGATGTCTTATCCCATGGGTCCCATGGGTTATCGGGCTGGTTTTTTCAATAATCGGGCCACAGGGAGTGCCTCCATTCTATCCATCAGAAGCTCCGTGATTCGGAACTTTCTTGTTCCAGTACAGGGTTTCCACATTCAGGGAAAACCGGGAAATGTCAGGGAATTTTAAAAAGTCAGGGAAAACCGGAAAATGTCCGGGAAAATGACGAAAATGTCACGGGAAAGTTAAATCAAGTCATTTGCTTTCTAGAATGGGTTTGAGGTTTCGAACAACTAATTTTGCCGGAAAACTATTTTCAATTGGATTGCATTTAACAAAGAGGAACCAGGAAAATTGCCATGTTGCCAAGATATTGTGCAACTTCGTAGCAATAAAACTTCTGTAATCATACAAAAATATGAAATTTAAATGGTAATTTTGTCTTAAAATTACAGTTATTAGCGTGTAAAATGGAGAATGTTGATAGATGAACAGATTTTCCTTTCAAGACAAAAGAAGTTGTACAATCTCAGCAACATTGCAATGCTCTTGGTTCCTTTTTGCAAAATGCAATCCAATTATGCCTTCTTACCCATCCGTCATACCTTCAACTGTCAGGGAATTTCGCCAAAATGCGTCAGGGAAATCAGGGAAAGGTCAGGGAATTTTATTTTTTAAATTCTGTGGCAACCCTGCCAATATCTCCTACTCCATGACCGTCAAAAGTTCCAGGATTCCTTTTAGATTTCTTCAGAAGTTCCTAGAAAGTTCCGGAAAATGCAAAGGATCCGGAACATTTCGGAAATTTCAAAAGTTCCGGGAAATTCAAAAAAATCTTAAAAGTACCGAAATTCGGGACTTTGCCAGAAGAAACCACTTTTTCTGGCTCATTTTAGAAACAACATATATGCTAATAGTTTCCCTACGCAGATAGGCGCTTTTACAGAAGAGCCAGTGATAATGGTTCCGTATTGCAAAATGTAATCCAATTCATATTTAGGCTTTTCTTTGAATAAGACGGGATCTCTATCCGTTGGCAGGGGTCTGCTGCTGTCGGAGATGTACCACACAGTGCGAGGGATGCTGGAGAACTTCCTGACGATCGTGGAGGAGTACGGACTCATCCCGAACGGCGGGCGGGTCTACTACGCCAAGCGCTCCCACCCACCGCTCCTCATCCCGATGGTGAAGAGCTACTTGGACACAACGAAGAACATCACCTTCCTCCGGGCCAACATCGATACCATGGAGAAGGAGTTCCTCTTTTGGATGACCAACCACACCGTCAAGGTCGAGAAAAACGGCAAGTTCTATACCCTCGCCAGGTATAAGGACTCGTCCTCGGGACCTAGACCCGAGTCGTATAGGTAAGTCCTCAACTTTGCCGTTAGTCCGTTACCGTTGGAAATGTTACCTAATAATTTTTTGTGATCAAAGTTAACCCCTGAAATTTCCACGGAAGCACGTGCAAAAGTTTTAAAGACACAATTTAAACAGTATTGAGATTTCCGGCAACACCGCGTCCGTAGTGGCGCTTGTGATACTTTGGCCGGAAGGCGGAAATTGACGACTTAATCTTCCCGGAAAGCAAAAGTTAAATTAAGAATGAATTTAATGGACAAATTATCACTTGTGTCGTTGCTAACCATTTCTAATCTGATTTTTACCTCATCTATACAATTTGTTCATCTTCTTTTGAGGCCCATTTTGGCAGTTTTGCAGTTAGTAGGAGTTGTTCAATGCAACCGGTTTCTGTTTCAGGGAAGACTACATGAGCGCACAAATATTTAGATCTGACAAAGAAAAAGAATCTTATTACTCAGAACTTAAGTCAGCTGCTGAATCCGGCTGGGACTTTTCAAGTAGATGGTTCGTGCTGAACGGCACAAACAAAGGTGAGCTTTTCGTTTTAATTCCCACCTTTTCTTCAACCGTTCTCATGATTTTCGAGATTATGCGTTCCGAGCGCTGCAACGAGCTTGAACCCCTCTTCGGATACTGTTCTCTGTGTGGAAAACCGGCTCCACCGGGGCAGTTGCCTGCTTCGGTTTTTAAGTTATATATGTCGCAGGCCAGTAGTAAAATCAGGCATTTTATCAAATGCCTAGGCAAATAGTCAAAAACTCATACTCGGATTGTTTTTATTCTCATCATCCTTTTAAGCAAAATAATTCATTTTTCCTGTAAGTAAGAACTCCCCGTAAAAATGTGCATCATACTGTAGTCTTTTACACGATTTTTAAGTCCTGAACGATTATTTATCTTGAAATTTTCAGCATATTATAATATACAGAAATTTTTAAAATTTTACCATCCAAATGTATAAGCATCATTTGAGGAGGAAGGAACGAGGGGAGTTCGTAGATATGATGAGATGTTTTCCCAAAAATATCGAAAAATCGTGAGCTCTTCACCAACAAATTTACAAAATTTCGTAAACTGTCAAAATTTGGCTATCTGCCTAGGCATTTGATAAAATGCCTTATTTGACTAATTGCCTGCGACATATATTTGAAGACAGTGGCATAGCCGGAGGAGGGGGGGAGAGTGGTGAGGGGGTTTAAATCCCATCAGAAATTTTTTCTTTATTTTCGGGAATTTCGTACTCACTGACCCAACCCCCTATGAAAACTTTCTGAGCATTCGCCTCTTTGAAGGAAGAGCTACCCCAGATGTGACTTACGATTTTGCTCACCCTTGATAGCTTTTGAAAGGGGACAAGTGTCGAGAATAAATCAGGTCACTGACGGAGCACGAGAGGAAGAGGCAGTTAAAGAGGGCTGAGGTGTGCAGAGGGGCCGGGGGGCCCTCCGCGATTATCCTTGGAATAATTGGTTTGTCGGACAGTGAAGACCCCCTAATGACCAGCGCTCGTTTTATCTGCAGATGAGTGAATGCATAGACATGATTTTTCGGGCCAAGAATTCGATTCAAGAAATAGAGACCATAATTGGTAAAAAATCGTGGAGTCGAGGAAGTTCATATTGAGTGAGCCCAAAAATGGCCCATATCGATACCCGTCCTTTTAAAAATTCAGGTAACATGCGAAAAGTGTCAGAAGTAAATTGTTTCCTTTATTTCCTTTCTAGAATGGGGTTGACGTTTCGAACAACAGATTTTGCGTGAAAACTATTTCAAAGTATGTCTTTTTAACCATCTAGTATACCTCCAATTATCAGGGAATTTCACCAAAATGTGACTGAGAAATCGGGGAAATATCAGGGAATTTCTTTTTCTTAATTCTGTTACAACCTCGTGAGATTGAAGATCCACACGCATCGGACACTGAACTTTTTCGATCGAGGTATCAAAAGGAGACATCACATTTATCTGTTTACCTTACTGAAATTCAAGTCTCACGTAAAATTTAGATAAATAATTACCACTCTGCAGTTCTGGCCAGTAGAGTTCGACATTCTTTTTTTGCGGCTCGAGTGCTTCACCCGTATTACATGATCATTGTTTTTATATCAGAGGGTATAGCCGGTAGCCGGTAGCAAGATCCAATTGTTTTTATTTTTGCATTTCTCGTTGGAAATCCGCCAAACCGCCCCCCTCCCTCCATTCCCTACTGCTCGTTCAGCCGGTACATATTTAAAGTTGTTGAACACGAACGTCACAAGCGCGGACACCTTACAAAGTAGTTAGGAGGACAGTGACCAATTTTCGCCTCGTGACGTCGTCACCACTTTTAGGATGAACACTTCTCCAGTTTAACGTTTATTATTCCGTTTTTCTGAGCCTCTCCCGTCCAAAATCGCAGCCATATTTTACTAGGTTATAGGGGTCATAACGAGGTTCAATGTCCATACTTTCTCTACACTGAGAGAAAACTCAACACATAAGTTTGGTTAATACGGGAAGTAAAATACAAAACAACCCTATTCTTCGGTTCACAATTTCAAAAGAAAATACTGTCAGCTAGGTAGTTTTCTCGAAGAAGTTCAATACACAACGAGTGGCGAATACCAACATCGCAGTCGGAGTATTGCATTTTCTCAGTCTCTTAAGTGTTTTCTGTGCTAAATTCACCAAAAACTGTACCTTAATCAACACAAACTGATTGCGGTGGACGTACGCGTCGTAAGACAGTATGTTGGAGTTTTTTGCCAACGTGCGTTAAAATAGCTGAAAATCTCAATACAGAGGGAAAAATCTCATATGAGCAGAATTTTCCCTCAAAGAGATATGCTGTTTGGTGCAAAACAAGTTACGTCCATTCAAGAAGGCAACTGCAGACGCATTTGGGCCTTGTTGGACCAATCCTCAGTGCAGTGCAAGAGCTTTTTCCCTCTGTATTTAGATTTTAAGCTTTACGCTTATTGACAAAAAACTCCAACATACTGACAAAAGTGTTTCATTTCCTATATTAACCAAAAGTAACACAAAAACACAAATATTTTTATGAGTGTAGGTGCACCTTAATACTGTGTTGAGAAACTATTATCTAAACCGAAAAAATTGGGTGTTTAATGCGAAGTGAGCATTTTTCTACGTTTGCAAGAGCTCAAGTACGGAGTTCGATAACCCAAGCCGAGCGGAGGAATGCGAAAAAAATGAGCGGAAACAGCGAAAACTGTCGCCCTCTGTCAACTTTACTGACCTCGACCCCCGGACTGGCCAATACGCCGGTCACGGGCAGGTGGATGTGAACAAAATCACCTCAAAAACAACGTCATGCCCCGTCCACCATCAAAAGCGAAAACATCCAAATGGACGCATGTTGTATTAAACTCATAGATTAATAAAGCAATTTTGCTGGAGGAGAAAGAACCTATCTGAGTATTCTGCCCGTGCTGAGGAAAAACGCCGCACAGTGGATCGAGTCAATAGGAGAGGTCGGACAAAATTTGGAAATTTTAAAAGCTTATAACTTCGTTTATCGTAAACTTTGAGGTCCTAAAAGTGGTTGCATCGTTTTCTCGTGAAATTTTCTTCTGAAGACACCCCTTATAGTTTAAAATAGGACGAAATAAACATAAAAATTTGTAGTTTAAGTCAAAAATTTCATGTCCGACCTCTGTGATTGACTCGATCCACTGATCGCCGTATTAACGTCCAAAAATTGCCAAATTTCCCCCGATAAAATGTTAATTTTTTAGGAAAGTCATGAATATATTTCCTTAAAATTCTCAGGAATTTTACGTGAAATATTGAACGAAATTCCCCGTAGAGTTCGAAGAAAAATAGTCATAAGTTTACCGAGAAATTCGTGCTTTATCAAGAGGTATGTGGCAACGTCTGAAGGTTCATGCGGCGTTTTTCCTCACCACGGCAGCATAGCACTTGCTGTTGAATCGTTTCGACCGATACACCCCTATATTCGCGGTGCTATTTATCGATATCTCACGCAAAAAACACCCGTTTAATGAAAAATTGTACCGCTCTATCGGGAAAATGTGTTTCATCAGGTGTTTTTCGCGCTAGACATTTTGGCGGGAGTCGCTGCAGGAGTGACAGGCGGTCCGCTGGGTGCGGGTGGTGCGGTGTGCGTCAGATCGTCCGTGATTCAGGCGCGCCATTATGGTTATTAAATTTAATTAAGGCATAGCAATCCCACAGCTCAGCCTAGGTCCCGGTGACAACGCCAGCATTGAGTCCAAGGTCGGGGCCGCCTCCTCCCCTCACCTATGTACCATCCGCAATTAACAGAGCTGCCACAGTCAGGGAATACCGGGAATTTTCAGGGAATTTCAAAAAGTCAGGGGAAACCTTGAAATGTCAGGGAAAGGGACGAAAGTGTCAGGAAAAAGCAGCTAAGCCACCCTTATTGGCTCTCTAGAACGGGTTCAACGTTTCGAACAAAAAATTTTGCCCGACAACTATTTAAAACAAGGTGTCTAGTTTCTGGAAAATCAGGGAGAATCAGGGAGGCATCAGGGAATGACTCAAATCAGGGAATTCATCGGTGAATGAGGGCTCGAACCGGTAATGATCCCATCAGGATGAGAAATACGGAAAGCCAAAAATGTTGTGCGAAGAAAGGAGCCATCTTACCTTTTTTCCGGTTAAAAATCAGAGAATATCAGAGAATGGGGTCTATACACATCAGAGAATAGGCTCTTCAGTCATCAGGGAATGGCTCAGAAAATATCAGGGATCATCAGGGAATGCGCAAATCCAAAATTGCTAGACACTTTGATTTAAAAGTATGTCTTTAAAGTAAAATAGCGGAGATTTGGGAGCACCGCAATGTAGATATGTGGTTTCGCAGTTTTTCCATAGATATGATGCGTGAAAATTGCGCGAGTCCCCCTGGAGAACGGTTTCACCTTTTTTCACATCCTCCTTTGATGAATGAGCAAGAGTCTGATGAAGGAAGAGAAGAGCTGTGAATTGGCGAGCGATGTGTGCTGCACGATGGAATGATTAATGTCTATTGACCTCCGAGAGCTCTGGTTGACCCCTGAACCACCTCGCTGCCGTGCTTCTGTGCCATGCCGCGGCCGATCCCGCCGAAAGCTTCTTTCAGACGAGAGATGCGTGCTTATTTATAGCCAGTGCCAATCATTAAGTTCAATTGGTCCTACTCGCGCGAGTGCCCCTGGCCTCCCCCGCCTCCCCCCTGACTTCTGCCCTCTGCCTCTGCCTTAACCAACCGTCTTTTTCTGCGACTCTTCTCACCTAGATCATCAACAGCGGCAGAACAGATGCCTCAAGTCGAGGAATGGGCAATTTAGGTCTTGCATGCGTCAGGAATTTCCGATTTACGTAAAAATTCCTCTGAAAATTTCGCGAGAAACACGATGGTGCCACTGCTTTTCTCTGAAATCAACCCCGAAGCTCAAAGAAAGCTCTTAAAGCTGAGGCCGTAATGGAGGGAATATCCCACGTTACCCTGAGATTCCACAGCCTCCATAGAGAAAAAAAAGGAGGTGTTTGTATTTCGGGCATCTTGGAATTTTTCATAGAGTATCTATAGCTTTGATGACGTCATTGGGTACAGCGACGTTTTTATCCTGTCGTTTTTCTTGGAAATGGTGTAATTTAAGGGAAAAAGTCATTCTATAAAAAGTGCTTGAAATTATATAAAGAGTTGATTTAAGTAAAAAAATCGGACATTATGGTCCGTTTTTACAGCGTCAACATAACCCTCAACGAGCGTCTTGTTTACATTGATGACGTAGGTGGGTACAAATCCTCAAGATGCAAACACCTCCTTTTTTTCTCTATGCACAGCCTCTATATCAAGACGAACTCTCTTTGCATAGAGAAGGAGCAAATAAATTAGCAAGATTACCTTGTTTTCAATTTTGGTGTCCCCAAATAAAGTGGCAACCCTGTTAATGCGTTTGCTCCCTATCTATGCATAGAGAGTTTGTCTTGATATAGAGGTTGACTCTCAGGGTAGCGTGGGATATCCTTCATCAGAGCTATCAACTTTGAGAGTTTTTTTTTGAGGTTTGGAGTTGATTTCAGAGAAAACCAGTAGTACCATCGTGTTTCGCGCGAAATCTTACATAGGAATCAGAACTCAAATCGCAAATTCCTGACACATGCAAGAGCTCCACTGGGCCGGATTTACCTACTTGCCGCCCATGGGCCCATGGGCCGCCTGTATTTTGCTGCCCCCTTCTCATCGTTTTGAAACATCGATACAGTCCATAAAGTGAACGTGCCGGAGGAGGAGGGGTGCATGAGACGCGTTTACTCGTGTTTGGCACATTTTTTGTGAAAGCCCTTTCGACACTAGCAAAAGTTCTCGGAACTTTGAGCGAAAGTTAAGTTCCGTAAACCTATCTCTGTGTTGACAAGGCGTCTCTTTTATAAGAAATGAACGAAACAATAATGAAAGAATAAACATAAATGTGGTTTAATAATTTTAATTTCTACTCCCGCGCCAACCGCACTGTGTTCGGCGCAATGCGTGAAGTTTTCCTACAGTCCTATATGTTTCACGCCGACCGCTGCTGACCGCACTCTCGACGCAATGCGTGAAGTATTCATGCAGTCTCGTAGGCACCATGAGTTTCAAGCCAACAGCTGCTTCTGACCACACTACGTTTGATGCAATGCGTGAAGTATTCATGGAATCTTGTAGGCGCTAATAAGTGTTTCATGCTGACCGGCGCGCCGAGGGCTTCTCCTTTTCATCTCAAGTCCTCGTCATCATTGCTCTCTCCGCCGCGCCGCTCCAGGCCAAATTGAGTGTTTGGTTTCTCTCTCAACCAGACTAATGAAAGGCGCTGTCTCTTGTATCACCGAAAGACTAATAAATTAGAAATTACTATCCGTAAACTCTCAGGAAATGAGAGATTTTGTCGCCTTTTCTCGTTGGTAATTTTTTTTTCTGAATCCGATTTTTTTTGATACCAACATTTTAAAAAATTGCAACATTTGCCGCCATGGGCCACGGCCCATGTGGCCACCCCTTAAATCCGACTCTGCCGTAGCCCCCACCCCCTCCCCTATCATTCCAAAGAGGACCTCTGATTTCAATGAACTCTTGTATTTTATGTATCTAAATAGAGCGTTATTTTTGGTTTCAGGCAACTTGACTAATGCTAAAACGACATACCTACTACCAGTGGAGCTAAATGCGATCCTGTATTGGAACGCGGTTCTACTATCGGAGTTTTTCCGGACGCTAGGCCAAGCCGAGAAGGCTATCAAATATGAGGAACTTAGCAAGGATTGGATGGAGGCCGTGACAGAGGTGCTGTGGCACGATGAAGTGGGTGCCTGGCTCGACTATGATATCGTCAACGAAGTCAAGAGGGACTACTTTTACCCGACCAACATCTCACCGCTCTGGACTGGGTGCTTCGAGAAAAACAAGACTGAATACTTCACTGCAAAGGTATCGCTAAGTCTTCTTGCTATTCTCCCGAAACCTCATATCGTCACCTTCGGAACAAATTTTCACAAGCACCGTGTGACGTTTCAAAATTTCTGCCCTCATTTTATTTTTTGGCAGAGAAATTGTTAGTTGAATATGTTAGAAAATTTCACCGAATTTTATCGGCAGCACAAAGAAAATTCAGTGAAATTTTCGGACAGCTTCGTTGAACAATTTCTCTGTGAAAAAATATGATGGCGGCGGAAATTGTTAAACGTTGCATGGCGCTTATGATACTTTGCCCGGAAGGTGACGATATGAGCCTTCAGACGTTGCCATATTTCCTTCAATAAAAAACAAATTTACCAGGAAAATTCTTAATATTTTCCTCCAAGTTTCTAAGCATTTTTTTTCACAATTTAATCTAAAATATCTGAAATTTAAAGAAAAAATATGCATAACCATACTGCCATGCCAAGGAAAAATGCTGTATGAGCCTTTGGACATTGCCTTCAATAAAAAACGAATTTGCTTAAAAAATTGTGAATATTTTGTATATGTATAAAATACATGGGTTTTCATTGGAAATTTCGCCAAATGACATCATCAGGCGGTGCATTATTTCACTTTTATATCTTTTTTTATACTTTTTCGTATATCAGAAAAATACTGCGAAATCAGCTCTCTCAAAACTCTCAGATGAAGCAATAACAAATGTGCGTGCAAATTTTCCATAAGAGTAAAATTAACATTTTCTCTTGGTGTTTATGTAGGTGATGAAATATTTGGAGAAAACACAAATAATGGTGAACTTGGGTGGCATTCCTACGACGCTCGAGCATTCTGGTGAACAGTGGGACTATCCGAACGCATGGCCACCACTCCAATATATTATGATCATGTCCCTGGATGCTACTGGTGACAGTTGGGCCCAAGACCTTGCTTATGAAATGAGTGAACGATGGGTCAGATCCAATTTCAAGGCCTATAATGAAACAGGAATTATGTATGAAAAGGTAAGATTAGCTATTCCTAATTTCCTCTGGATCCAATTCGACAAACTTTCTTCCCACCCTCCCTTCTCATTCTGAGGCAGTTCTTATCTTTTAATCAAAACATATCTAATTACTGATAATCAAGGTGGTAAAATAGTACTGGGTCCACAGTATTCTGCTAAGAAAACAAAGCAAAAAAATTACACTGACTTCCATAAGATTCTCAAATTTTAACTCAAATTACTATTAGTGCAAAACTGAGGGGAAAGAATGTTCAGCAGTGGTTACTTACAGCTCAGGCTGCATTTTTAAGTGGGTTTTTTTTCTGGTCACTGATAATCTTTGTGTAGTTTGCAGCTTAAGAAAACAGTGAAGAGTTGACAGTGCCGATCAGCAAAAGGTTTTTTCACGTATCACTGTGTTTTGTTTTGTAAAATGACGATGCTCATTTTGTCTTGAGAAAATGATCTGTAGCAAACTTTTTTGCTTGATGATTTTTCACTGATTTACTTTTACATTATCTTTGCAGTATGATGCGACTGTACCCGGTGGACACGGAGGTGGTGGTGAATATGAAGTACAAATGGGTTTTGGATGGACCAATGGAATCATTATGGAACTGTTGGACAAATATGGGGAACGGATGACGGCAGAAGACAGGTTTATTGAACCACCCCAGCAAGAGCACAGTATCAGATCGTCAGCGCTATCTCTACAAAGTTCACTGTCTGCAGAAACGCAGGTTCTTACAGTAATCTTAGCCCTCATAGCAACACTAGCAGCAGGATTCATTGGGTGAGGTATGTATCGAAAATTTCAGCTTTTACACTGTATAAATTTGGCTAACTTTTAATGAAAGATAAACGCTGAAGGAGTGAAATTTTGAAATTCGTTAAAGACGGAAGGTATAATATTGACAAAACTATGAAAAATTTGATTTAAAAGTACATAATTTTCTCATTGTGCCCCTGTGTAAATGCATCTACAAAAAGCATATTATTTTAAAAAACATCTTCGCTGGTCCGCCTGCCTAACTCAAAATTATCTGTCACCTATGTGTATAAAATTTGGCTCCTTTTTGGGCAAGCAAGTTAGTCATAAACCAGGGTTTAAATGAGAGCTTATGATGACAACAATTGGTTGGTTGTGAATCTATAACAGGATTTTTCATTCTTTATTTTTCAGATATTTTCAACATTTGTTTAATTGTGGAGTATCGTTGTTCAGGTAATGTGATCAAGCATGGCGTTGTTCGTTTTGAGCCCAGTGTATGTATAGCAGGTCAGATGTATCATAAAATTACTTTATTGCTGTTGTCCTAGTGGTTCTGGCCTGTTTTGTTTTCCATACTACTGTTGTTTTCTTCTTCTTCTTTTCTGTCTCTTCTTTGTAATCTATTCATCTTTTCATCACTTTTCCCTGAAGTCATTACCGTCTGTGAAAGTGTAAAGATAGGAATTAGGGCAAAACTGCAACGTCTCGGCTCGACCTCCAGATTTTAAGGAAGATTATTCCATTTCCTGTTTTTTGTGCACTGAAATTGGTGCAGGATGACAGGGGAATCTGGATGTTCAAATGATGATCAAATTACTGGGGGATTCGTTTAACTTCCTTAAAGTTAGGAGGAAATCGTATGACAAGAAAAGAAAATCCAAAAATAATTCAAAAAGTAACATTTAGCTCTGCAGATTAATTCACCGTTTAAAACCAGTATATCTTTTACCTGACTTTTTATCTGCAGATTTTAAACCAAAAAAATTATGTTACTTTGTTGTCTTATTTTCCTGAAAAACTGAAAGTGTTTTCCCACCGGTGAAGTACCAAACTGAAACTAATATCAAAAAATTTTCTCAGCTACTGCTGGTGTTTTTAGTTAACTGAAGGCAGAAATTGCTACTTTTTCTTTGTTGCAACTCAGCCTTTCTTGAGCATCAAAATAGTAAAAAAACATTGCTTGTCGTGTAATTCAGTGAATTTTGACCAGAGTGGCATTATCTTCGAAGGATTCGGTGCTTTTGATTTTCCTGTCAACTTTTCGGAGTTTCCTTTCCCCCATTGTAAATATCCGTAACTTGTCAGATCATTCATCTATCTCTCAGGGTTGAATCTCATAAGACACTCATCTTAAGATTACTGTAGCACGGTGTATTCAAAATAAATAGTTCACCCAAAGCTGCCATTTGCGGTAAAAAATACCAATACTTCATGTAATTTGTTGTCTCTTTCACCAAGGAACGCATCTTGTTTACGCTTGTTTCAGTAATTCTACAAACATTATATTTTTTCATGGGAAAACCGTCGCACGAAATAGTCTGAAAATTTCAGATTCTATTCTAACAAAAGTAAAGAAAAATCACTTCAACATCAAGAAAATTCATATGGACAGTTGTTCTATAAAAAAATAAAATGTAAGTAGAAAATACTGAAACAGCGCAATGGAGATATGTTCCTTTGTGTGAGAAACGAGGAATTGCAAGTTGGGAATTCTTCATTGCAGACGGGAGTTTGGTCTGAGATCCTCTTTTCATTCCTATGGCATCACAAGGCTCGTGTGTCATGGGACCCTTGCGCTCTTTGTTAATACCAAAACAAGTAGCCTTAAGGTCCTAGTTTTAAGTTATCTAGTCCAGAACACTTCTTATTTATTTATTAACCCGTTCATTTTGTTTATTTTAACGAACTGTATGGGTTTTGCTAAAATTAGGTAGTTCAATTACTTAAAAGATATAGAGGAGAAGTTAAACTGAGCAATTACAAATTGAGTCAGTAACTCAAGTTAATTAATGGATGCGACAATCAACTCGGATTCTTTCTTTGTCAACTTCTTTCTATTCGATTGAAGGAAAAGTTTTGCCAATTTTCCATCGTATTTTTTGTAAGTTTTTATCTGGGTTTAAAACGCTATCAAATTTTTTTCCGACCCCATTCTTTTAAGTACCTTTTTTTTACATCTGTTCAAGTAGAGAGCATCATATTTCTGTTTCTTTAGCGGCTATTTGGGCTTAAAAAATTATTGGTTGCAATTTCACACTTCTTCAGTGACTGATTAAATATTTTTATGTTTCTTTTTTAATGTGTAATGATATCTTCTTTTATAAGGATGTAGTTTTGCTCTTGATTGCAAAAGCATCTATGAACCACTAAATCAAGCTTCTTCCTCACCGATTATAGCCACAAAACAAGTTTTAATAGTAGATTTTCATTTGATAAATCTTGTTGTTTGCTGGGAATTTGTTTCCTATCATTTCATTGCTTTCTATGCCCCCTTTTATTATTCTTTTCCCTCATTCTACTTACTATCATCACTCAAAATATTTAGACCAATCCTAAGTATATTTTCTACTAGAAGAAACTAGCAGAATAAAAGAATTTTAAATTAAGTCAATCAGCTGAATCATGTCGTTTTGTTACATCCATCAAATTATTAGTATGTATCTCCGACACACCAAGTGATCGTTTAATAACAATTAATTGATCAAATTCACAATGATTTTTGCACTCTTTCCTCTCTCAAATTTTTTTTAAAGCGAAACTTTACAGTCCTGTATGTTAAGCACTTTTTCTACAAAAATATGTCGAGGGTTTTTTTTTTTTTTTTAAATTAGACTAAGCAAAGAACGGAAATGTTGATCTATAAGTATTAGAGCCTCTGAATTTTATCGATCAAAATTAATGGTACCAATGTGCCTGATTGTTCCTATATTTATGAAATTTTATTTTGAAAATCGATCCATTTTTTTATTCACATTAAGCAAACAGGATTCGCTCCTGACATCTGTTTATTTATTTATTTATATATCTAATCTTACGTATTGTAAAATCACGTATTTTTTCCACTATGACTGAGAATTGTTTTCATTTTTCTCTTGACCAAATTTACAGAGGAAATACCTCTCTTTTTAGTCTAGCCATTTGGGCTATTTTGTATACGTGTAATTTAATTAGAAAAATACTAACAAATATTTATGCTTCCTTAATTTTTGGCCTCCTGATAGCTCACCAATTCTATCTCTAATTCTTGATTCTGTTGAATATTTTCAGTAGTGAGTATTAAAAGATGGTAGTTTCAGAATTTGAATCTCGGTTTGATAGATCTTTTTTTAGATTTTCGTTTTTCATTCTCTGCAATTATATCAGTCTTCCGCTGTCTAAAAATGCAATTTTTCAAATTAGGATCATCTTGTAATGTAAGGTTTGACTGCTCTCCTTTTGTAATGTCCTGCAACTTAGACAGATAATACATTTTACCCTTCATTTAAACAAGTACCGCAAGTGCCCGCAGGCAAATCTGACCTAGCATTTAACGGAAATAAATCCTGCCTATTACAAAAGAGCGACTCTCCCTAATTAGAAAAATTCATAATCTAGACTTATTTACCACTAATCACTAACCCTCAAAAACTCTTTTTTATTTCCATCTCATAATGAATCTCATGCATGACTTTATTTGTCCAATATCATTAATAGAAAAACAGAAATGATGAAGTTACGATCAGTCTCTTTGCCAAATTCAAACAACTTTGCCGAGTCCCCATGTTTTTTACATAGTCCTTAGAAGGTCATCTGCTCTCATGAATACGGACTTGATGCTATCATAATGTCAGTTTAAGGTGATTTTAAGAGATTTAGGGACAAGATGCACCACCACATTTCGCTGTTACACAGTTTGTATTTTTGAGAAGCAATAATTATCACAACGCACAAGTTATGCAAGAAGCTGATCCATAACTTGTGGTTGTATGTCGTCAATTTTTTGAAGACTCAGAGATTCTTGGTGTAAGAGACAGATAGCAATGTAATATCTCTCTCTCTTTCCTACACATTGAATCAATGAAGAACCACAGTTATGGTAGTTTCTGATATGAATTTTTAATGATTTTTCTCAAAGCAGATTTCGTACTACTCAGTATTATTGCTGCTACATGTTATTGATCAGTTTCTTGCATTTATTTGTACATTGCCATAATTATTGCTTCTTAAGACACAAACCGTGGAGCAACGCAACTTAAGGGTGGATCTTCTCTCTAGATGACTTAGAATCACCTTAATACATGTATATATTGAATTGAGTCTCTTCAAGATGTTGTCCGACTGCTCGCAGCTGTTATTTATCGTAGTTGATGGCTCAGTAGCATCCATTTCATTTTTTTGAAGGTGACTAGAGAAGATGTACGAATCCAGTCCTAATCATGGTACATCTTGTTTGTTTGTTTGATTGGCAGAGCAGGCTTACCCGTAAAATATTTGATAGCGTTTGTGAAATGAGCAATCTCTGATGTTTCTTGATCTGCATGGTCTTACGGTAGCGTAGGATTGTCATTGTTTTGTGTGATACTTTAATTAGCTAGTTTATTGCTGTTTGCAATCGTACGATGGTGCAAATTTGTATTTTGTTAAGTTGTTGTTGCCTGTTTGATTAATGTGGTCAGTCGGCCGAACTTGTTTAATTATTTTGTTAGGTGTACAATCGGAAGTTCCTCTTCATCGCAGCTGTAAAAATATTTGATTATTTATTCATTAAACTAAGTACATATTTTAATTGAAGAGTGGCATAGATTTATTTCTGCTGTAGTTGGTCTTACCATGAAATCAAATATTATTGCACTATTCGATTATTGTATTTGTTTATTCTTGTATTTCATTTTTTTAACTGATGGGAATAATTCACAAATGTCTTCTAAACTTTTAATATTTAAATTAATAACTTTCAAATTCGGCTACAAGTTTTTTCAATCTCCTTAAGTGACATAATAAATCTACAAGCTTACCTGATCTAAAACGATTTCAAACCATCCTCAAAATTTTCCAAGGCGTAAAAAATTCATGACTAACAATAGAATCTTAATTTTACAAATAGAGGTTCAAATTTATCTAACAGAGAATGAAAGTAAGAAATGGTGTGCCATTAAGTGTTAGATCTATGAAATTTGAGGAACTAATTTTTAAGGTGAAATGGAAAAAATAAATAAAATCAGGGTGTCATTACATCTTATTTTTTCAGAGAATGGTTATTCATGAGTTCTCTTTTTAACCTAAAATAATTTTTGCAGAAAAATTGAGAGTGAAGGACTGATTTTATTATTTTCCGGACTTATTTTTTCTTAAAATCTATCTTGCTCAATTCTTCATTCCGCCATTTAACAGTCCGAAGTAACTCCTACCATTTCTCTGGAAGCTTTTCAATTGTTTTATCTACACACATTTGAACCTCTTAAAAACTGTTTTTCTACTATTTATTTTTTTCGTTTCCTCTCAGAAATCATGATCCTCAATGTTTGAGCAAGGTTTTTTTTTTTCACTTGTTATGGAAGATGACTTGTGTTGGAGGATGAAAGGTCGGCCATCTAAATTAAAAGTTTTTTCAGTCTCTGGTTTTTGTCTAACTCACAACAAAAATACCCTTTAATATTAAAAAAAGGGAAATAAGGAGAAGGTGAGCCTTTGGAAGTTTGGCATGAAAAAGAAAATAGAAAATACATATTGAATGAAGGTTCCGCATTATGTTTGGTACTGAGAAAGTTCTTGAACGAACGCGGATAACACTTTTGGTAATTAAAAAAGACAAAGCTGATGGGACCAAAATCCCACCTTCTCAAAGGTACAAGCAAACTTATATTTTCTGAGTAGCTTTGACTTCGCAGAGAATCCAAATTAACACCCAACCAGGCTTCCTCTACCAAATGGACATACTTAAATCAAAAGGCCTTTTAATCACTTTGACATGAGCCCTGAGATCCATAAGAAAACACGCATGACAAGGCTCATGTATCAATGTATATAGTTCATTTTGATTCAAATGCGTCCAAATGATGTAAGGGTATCTCTCCTCTGGCTTGTGCCATCTCACAGACAACTTCTATTGAAACAAATAAGACATCTGCAGAGTGTTAGGGATAGAGACCAATCAATCCTACCGAAAAAATCAAGACCTATTAGAAGTAGATAAAGGCTTGGAAGACTTGTCAAAAATTCTCATCAGCTTCCTTTGGAAGAGACTTACGTATCTTAGAAGTTCGTATCAAAACACAGGATGTAAATTTTGATTATAATAGAATCTCGAACAAATACTGTTTTTAACTTGTTTTAAAGTATATTTTTAGTATTTGTTATTAGTTTTTTTTATGTTGCCTTCAACCGAACGAAACTTGAAGCTCTTGCAGCTCTTCATCATTAGTCTATTAAACGTAATTGCTAATTGATTTGTGATTTTGCTATTAAGTAAAATTTTTTAAAACTAATTTGCTGTCTTTTTACCATTCCTCATCCTTTAACATCGTTTTAGTTGAAAACAAACTTGCCTGTTTTTGTTGGCATCTGATGCATAAACCATTGGTTTCAGTCTTTGAGTTTAACTTTGAAGTTTTCTGTTCCCTTCTTCCTCTATTTTTACTATGGTTCCTTTTTGTTTGTTTTCTTGACACCTCAGTCAAGATAAATGTGCATATCGATGGCCAAAGTGCGAAACCCCGTACCTCTGTTTGCGACAATGTGGACCTCCTATCATACTTTATTTTTTCTTTGGAAAACTAGTCAACGTGATTTCTTGAAAACTGCCGTGATGTTTCCTCTCTATAAGTGGAATATCATGTAAAAATTTTCAGCTGTCATGTTGGTTTGTTTCTCTTCGAAAAAATAGAATACAAGCAGATATTTTGAAACATCGCAATGCGGTTTTACACTTTGGCCATTGATATAACTTCATAGGTATGCGTATGTGTATTTGTTCCATCTAAAGTGATTCAAGGCTACGTTCATTTTTAATAACATCTTGCACTTCAATATTATTTTCATAATGGAACCAAGAGGACTAATGAGATTACTTTAGTGAATCTCGAAGAAAGTTTCCAAAATGTAGGAAAATATTTTGAAAATTGTAAAATTATCCATCAACCATGTAAAGACTTTTCTTAAAAGCTATCCAAAGACTATAAACTTCTTTAATAAGACGGAGGTGTCTTAAATCCTCATTACTAACATTCCTCTGATATTGTTATCCATATTAATTTAATTTTTTAAAAAAGCATAATGAAAATGGAAAATACTTTTAAAAATGATGAACTCTGATAGTAGTTTTAACCAATGATATTTCAAATGAAGACACTAAAGTTACCTCTTAGCTCTTAATATTTAGGTAAATTATTTTTTGAGGTTGTACGTGTTTTAAAAAAAAAATCTATTTTAAGTAAATCCTGGTCAATGTTGATTAATAGCAGATTTTGAACTTTATCATGACAATTTAAAAGAAAATTGTCTTCACTATAAGTAGATATTTATCTCTGAAACTTATTCAAATATTTTGACGTCAAGTTGCTCAAAAAAAGAAGACAAATGTATCAAAAGTAAAAATTTTTTGTTCAATTGTCGGTACCGATCAATGTAATTTCCTTTGCCGCATGTCTATCTTTATTTTTGATTTATTTGACGATAAAATATAATGATATATTTTTAATCTAAGTATCTTTCTCCTGTACATTGGATTTTACGAAAATTTCTGGCTAGAGCTGAAGAAATATTCAAAATTGAATCAAAGTTACTTAGTATTGAATAATAGCAGGATTCGTATTAAATGAATGATAAGATAGATAAAGCACTCAATAAAGAAACACCTCAAACACTACTCATAAAAAGGACAATCTAAGTGAAAATATTCATTCCTAGGAAGATTTCTGAATGGCAACCTTTGAATCTCATCTGTATAAAAATTAAATTTCTGCGAGTGGAGGAAAAAATTATGCTCAAAATAATCAATTACAATGACAAAGCTCATCACAGTTGTGAGGCACACACTGAAATTACACATTGAATATCAGTTGTCAAAAGAGAATATTTTAGGAATCGAATTCTGCTGCAAACTGAATGGTTCAAAAGCTTATCAATCAGTGATAAATGGCTGTACACGTAACATTTCTAAGTGTCTTGCAGTCCTCTTTTGTTAAAACTCCTTACATAACTTAATCCTCCACTGAGTTGAATTTTATATGAATATGAAGTTCATCCATTTTTTTTAAAAATTAAATTATTTCTGGAAATTTTTTTTTTTTTTTGTAGTCTTGTTTTTCGTGCTGCCAGCATGAATTTAGAGCTTAGGATTTGCCAATATTGATGAAAATTCAGTGTTTTTTGCATGTTCTTCTTGGTACATTTTTTCTCTCATCTAAAGCTTTCTCATGTTGCATGTTGCATGATCCCTCAGTTTTTGACCCATGAAATTTATTGGCCAATAAGTATAATTTATTGAAATTTAACACTTGTCACATATGATCATAGAAAGTGGCTTGTCTAATTTTCTAATTGTCATTACAATTTAATGAACAATCACGACAATCTTTTTCATTAATAATGTGGCGTTCAACTTTTGCATGGCAAATTTTACCTCAAATGAAGTCTAAAAGTCTTTGTAAAATGTATTTTCAATTCATTCCATGATGCTCACTTGGTTTTTAGCAAAATATTTAAACAAAGAAGTTAAGTCCCAAAAATTAATTTGACATTAAATTGTTTTCACTTGTGTGGGTATTTTATTTTATTTATTTATTTTTTTTTTACAAAATAAGTTTTGTTAACACTCAAAAAGTTCTAATTTCATAGTCAAAAATGTAAAAAGCGATCCTTGTAGCTGTTTTTGTACGATACCTACAATTTTTTTTTTTTTTTTTTTTTTTTTTTTTTTTTTTTTATTTATTTTTTTTTTTGCCGCACTAAATGTTGAGTTTTAATTGCTCAAATGTTCTTGATCCCTTAAAAATCAACTTTAATCATTCATTTAGTCATTCTGCATTTTTATATCTCTTCCGCTGTTTTTGCTTGAATGGTGTTTTTATTTTATGATTTTTATTCATGCTTATAATTTTTTTTTCTCCCTGCAGGCACTCTAAATCTCGGAAATTCTTCGCCTCCTTAATAATACAAGCTGTGCTCTTCGATATTGATTGACAACTCCATTTAATAGCATTTTCATTTCAAGCAGTGCTTCAAGCTTCTTAATTTTACTTTGCCATCTTTGAGTTGACATTTCATCTGTTTCATATCCTCATTCAAAAATGTTTTAAAACCTTTCCTCCTTTTGCCATTGTCCTTCTCAAAATTTAGAAAATGTCAATGAATTGAACGGACTCAAAGGGAAATATCCTACCATCAGATGCCCCTACTTTCAATTTAAACATGTTAATTGCGCCAGACGTCCTTATCTCCCCTTGAATTTTAGACATTTGAACTCACTGTAAATAAATTTAAAGAATTCTTGTTGATCTTCAAGTACTGTAAATATGCATGAAAAATTTATATGATAAAAAACGCACAACCTAGAGGAACAGGCTAAAGACAACACAATAAATTTGAAGAGTTTCGCCTAAAAATTGGCACTTTCTAAAGAAGGAGAAGGAGTGTTGATAAGACCCAAATTAGCCTTCTTTCTTGGGTCCTCATACTTTTTTATATTTTGCAGTGTATTTCATAGAAATATTCGCATACTAACAATTCTTACATTTTTGCGCCTTGAAATGGAATTTCAAACTTAAGTCCAAAGGCCAAACGCAGTGAAAATGTGTGTTTTTTGTGATTTGTAGCTTTTCCTCTCTCCCTATACCTAGCTACCCATTGTTCTATTTTTATCGTCAATTTTTTTAAAGCCACCGCTTATAAAATTTACGCTGCATTTTCTCAGACTGACCAATAACTTGTAAATAAGCGACACTAAAGTACTGTTTTCGAACTGTGAATAAAGGAGAAAAAATACAATCAATACTGCTGACGTTTTTCACATTTTGCTTTTATTTTCATTATTTCAAAGCTTCTCTTGCTACCACTCCACTAGACTAACATTTCATGAAATTTAGAGCTCTTATTCTTGCATTATTCATTTGATCTGGATATCATTATTATGACAGTTTTCCATTTTTGCTACCAGCTTGGATGTTGTCTTGTCCGTTCTACTCACAGTTTAATCATTCGAAAATCATGGAGCACTTGCGGAAAACAATTTCTGATGAAGTACATCAAAAGACAAAAAATCACCGCCTAAGGAAACCGCAATTTAAGAGTTGATTATCTATGAATTTTTAACTTGAACAATTTTGCTAGTTTAGTCTCAAAAACTGAACTCAGAGGCTGAGAAAACTGTCAAAATATACTGCCAAGGAGTTTTTGCCTGTTCTCATTTTTCATAGCTTTTTACTTCATAATTGCAAGTCTCTCTTCAGTAATTATTTTTTCACAAATTTTGGCCCCCTGAAGAAGGCATACATTGCTCTTGCTTGAATGTCTGCTATACCTATCGAATTTTCTTTTTATAACAGTCTAAAGCGGTCAATGCCAACCGATAGTAGACTGAAAGTGAAACTAGAACAGCACTTACTTAAGTATCTCGATATGTTAGGTTGCAAATCTCTCATCAGATTGTACTCATCGGAGGAAAATCAGTTGTCATTATATCTTACAAAATTTTCTACCATCTTAGTAATAGTTAATAATCAATAGTTTCAGTCAATGGTTTTTTTCCTTTTTCTAAAAAGAAAAAAAAAAGTGTGCTTACCAGTTTATTGGTATCCTCACAAAAAATGAAAATTAACTGACATTTTGAGACAACTGCATCTAAGAATGTCATTTTTAAATTTCAATATTGAAATGCAGCTGAATCACAAAAAGTGCATCAATGCCTGAGAACCAATTTTCAGCCTAGTTTTTCACTGGCTATTCTAGGAGAGGGAAGAGTTAAAGTCAGTTATCTGCTTTTTACAAGCGGTACAATTCGTAAACAATATTTTTACAGAATGAAATCAGAGGTTTTTCTTCTCATGTCATATTTATATGAAGAAAATAATAAATTAATTGGAGAGGCATCGTTTCTCAACAGAATGTCACTGTAGTTGGATCTCGTAAAGATTGTGCGCCATGTATTCTTTTAAAGCTGTTAGCTGACCTATCGTTGCACATTTTGACTGATAATAGGAAATAACTCATTTTATCAAGTATTAACGAGAAAACTACAAAAAAGTGCATTTCGGTTTGCGGCATTACAGACTTTCTGTCATACTGTAAATAACAAACCACTGAACATTATTTCTTGAAAACTTACATGATTCTTTTTCTTTCTGTGAAAAATTCAAACCACAATGTTGGTTTGTTATCCTTAAAAAAATAAAATAGGAGCTTAGATTTGAAAAACTGCAAATAAGGTTTGCGTTTTTGCAGTTTCACCGTCGAGATATATGTAAAGATAACATGAAATAAGCAAAGGTTA